GTCTGTTTGTTGAAATATGTCAATTGATATGCCGTCAACTCCTGGAGTTTTTGCCAATTCCTTCAGAGCAATTTGAACTTGCTCCTTCATCACCATAGGCTCTTGCTCATATGTCATTTCATGAAAGTCTTCTGTGTCAGCCAATTCCTTCTGATACAGTGACTGTGTATTCCTTCCATCTTCTCTTGATACTTCCTGTATCATTTAACATTCTATCCAAAGTATCCTTAAGTATTGTCACTTGTGGCTTGAATTTGTTTTTCTGCTCCTGCAGCTTAAGAAATGTTGAGCGAGTTCGGCCCTTTTAATTTTCTGACTCCAGCTCTCTGCTTAACGTGTTTCATTATAGTGTCTTGCTTTGTTGTCCCGGGCTGCCTTTTGAAATTTTCTGTTTGGTTCTTTAATTTCTTGGTTTCTTCTTCTAGCTTTGGCTTCTCGGTGCTCTAACGCAATATTCAGAGTCTCTTCTGACATCCACCTTGGTCTTTTCTTCTTTCTCAGCCTTTATAATGATCTTTTGCATTCTTCATGACTATTTTCTTGATATCCTCCCAGAGCTCATTTGGTCGACGTTCATTGGCGCTCAAGGCCTCAAACCTGTTCCTGAGATGGTTTTGAAATTCGAGTGGGATAGACTTAAGATAAAATTTTAGTTCCCGTGGACTTAATTTAATTTTCCTCAACTTCAGCTTTAATTTGCATATGAGTAGTTGGTGGTCTGTCCCACCATCAGCACCCAGCTTGGTTTTCACTGTTGATATTGAGCTTCTCCTCCGAGTCTTTCCACAAATGTAATCTATTTGATTCCTATGAATGCCATCAAGGGAAATCCATGTGTATACCCTGCGTTTATGTTTCTTATAAAAGGTATTTGCAATGAATAAATCATTAAATGTGCAGAACTCTATCATTCTATCTCCAGCCTCATTTCTCTCACTGAGCCGCTATTTTCCAGCTACTGATCCTTCTTCCCTGTTCCCAACTTTTGCGTTCCAGTCGCCCCATTATTATCTTGATTGCATGTTTGATCAATTTCTGACTGCAAAAGTTGCTAGAAATCTTCTATTCGCTCCTCTTTGGCTCTAATTGTTGGTGCATATATTTTAATGACAGTGGTATTCACTGGTCTTCCTTGTATGTGTATGGATATTATCCTGTCGTTCACCACATTGTATTTCAGGATGGATCTGGAAATTACTTTTTTAATTATGAAACCAACCCCATTTTTCCTTACCTTTTTCATCCCCGGCATAGTATATCATATAATTGTCTGATTCAAAATGTCCCATGCCAAGCCATCTCATTTCGCCAATATCTAGTATGTCAATATTTAAGTGTTCCATTTCTTTCTTAATGTCCAATTTTCCTACATTCAGGCTTCTCACGTACCACGTTCCAATCACTAGTGTCTACTTACTGTTGTTCCTTCTCTGTATTTCCATTTCTTAGATCTCAGTCTCAATTGCCATGTCTGCTAGTCCAAGCGATAGTTTAAGTGTGCCTTATTGTACATAGAGTTTTTAAAGACCTGTCATTTCGGAAGTGGATGGCCAATCCTTCTTCCTAGTCTGTCTCAATCTTTAAATATAGTATCTGACAGACAAACATTCTACAGAAAAGAGCAGATGAAAGACATTTGTCCAGTTATAACAATCACTAATACCTTTTCAACACGTATGCAGAGCTGATTATCCGAGAGGCTGGGCTCTATGAGGAGAACTGTGGCATCAGGACTGGTGGAAGATCTATTAACAATCTGCGTTATGCAGATGACACAACCCTGCTTGCTGAAACTGAGGAGGACCTCATGCACTTGCTGCGGAGGGTCAAGGACTGCAGCCTTCAGTATGGACTGAGGCTCAATGTCAAGAAGACGAAGATTCTCACCACTGGACCAATTGGCAGCGTCAAGATGGATGACGAAGAGATTGAGATTGTTCACAGCTTCAGTTTGCTCGGCTCCACGGTCAACACTCTTGGCACCAGCAGCCAGGAAATAAAAAAAAAAAAAAAAAAGTTTTGGGGTGGGAAAGTCTGCGGTTAGGGACCTCTCTAAAGTACTCAGGAGCAACGGTGTCTCTCTGGAGACTAAGGTGCACCTGATACAGGCCATGGTCTTTGCAATCGCTTGTTATGCATCAGAGAGTTGGACAATGACTAGGGAGGATAGAAGGAGAATTGACGCCTTTGAGCTGTGGTGCTGGAGAAGAGTATTGAATGTTCCATGGACTGGCAGGAAAACAAACAGATTCATCTTGGAGAGGGTTAAACCAAGCTACTCCTTGGAGGCAAGGATTCTGGGGCTTCGTCTGACATACTTTGGACATGTTGCAAGGAGAGACAGGTCCTTGGAGAGGGACATCATGCTTGGTAGGGTGGAGGGACAGTGCAGGAGGGGAAGACCCTCTATGAGGTGGATTGATTCAGTGACTGATCAGAGGCAATGCGATTGGCACAGGATAGAGCAGGGTTTAGGGCTGTTGTGCATAGGGTCGCTATGAGTTGCAAACGACTCGACGGCACATAACAACAACAATAGATTCAAACCATTCTCCTGCTCGTGACCTTGAACCATGTACCTTTAGGATTACAGCACAGCTTCATGCCACTAGGCCACCAGAGCAAATCGGTAGCATCAGGATGGATGGCGAAGAGATTGAGATTGTTCACAGCTTCAGTTTGCTCGGCTCCACGGTCAACACTCTTGGCACCAGCAGCCAGGAAATAAAAAAAAAAAAAAAGTTTTGGGGTGGGAAAGTCTGCGGTTAGGGACCTCTCTAAAGTACTCAAGAGCAACGGTGTCTCTCTGGAGACTAAGGTGCACCTGATACAGGCCATGGTCTTTGCAATCGCTTGTTATGCATCAGAGAGTTGGACAATGATTAGGGAGGATAGAAGGAGAATTGACGCCTTTGAGCTGTGGTGCTGGAGAAGAGTATTGAATGTTCCATGGACTGGCAAGAAAACAAACAGATCCATCCTAGAGAGGGTTAAACCAGGCACTCCTTGGAAGCAAGGATTCTGGGGCTTCGTCTGACATACTTTGGACATGTTGCAAGGAGAGACAGGTCCTTGGAGAGGGACAAAATGCTTGGTAGGGTGGAGGGACAGTGCAGGAGGGGAAGACCCTCTATGAGGTGGATTGATTCAGTGACTGATCAGAGGCAATGCGATTGGCACAGGATAGAGCAGGGTTTAGGGCTGTTGTACATTGGGTCGCTATGAGTTGCAAACGACTCGACGGCACATAACAACAATGGATTCAATATTGCTGCCCACCCATGCTTCCCTACTCCACCACCATCCCTTCCTACTTTTGCCTGCAGCATTCAATACCCTTCTCCCATAGACCAGCCTCTGATGTGATGGCCTAAGTCTCAAGCCATCAGGATTTCTGTGATCCTAAACATATTGTGCTGCTGTGATTCTCTTATGATGCAGCCAATATGACTTCAATTTAAAGTTGTTAAGTACAACTGTAATGCACAACTTCCACTCCAGGGTTACCTTCTCATGGGTTAATAATACCGCTTGTCTTCCATTTGAAGCCAGGTGCTGATGCAAATGGCCCTCGGGCCCAAAACTCTTTTTCTGGCAATGGCTTCAGGGTGTGCGCTGGCTAATGTGGCCTGAGGTTACCTGTATTAGATTTTGGAGATCAGAAAAGCTCCACCTCTCTCTTCTCCCCAATTTCCAAAAACTTTTTCTGGCAATGGTTTCAGTGTGTGTGCTGGTGATGGTAGGAAATATATGATTAATTTAAGGCCACAGGACCAGCTAATGAGATCTCCTTCTCCATGTATCACACCAGATTGGCTTTGTACTCTTCCCGCCTTTTGGAACGGCTGAATGGGACCAGAAAGACCACAACAACATAATGTTCATCACCATGTGCTTCTGCTGGCACTACCTGGTTGCTATCTGCATTGTGGCCATAAACTACTCTCTTGTTTTCTGGTATGTTTTAAGGAATATTTGTAAAGATGTTACCTCCTAACCAATTTCCACCACTTTACTCCAATTCCTCACACTGTATACTTGGTATTCTCAGGGCCAGAACAATTACAATTAAACAATGCTGATTAGCTTTTACCACTTAATGAGTGCCAAGAACCTGCAAGTTCTGTACCAAGCTCCACATCCCCAGGGTGGACATTAACTACTACCCTCATTTTGCTATTTGTAAATGAGAGTATGAAGGCCTGGAGAAGTAACATGCCTTATCTTGATGGCAGTCAGCAGGAAGTCTCGGGTCTCACAAACAGTCCTGGCAGATTTTAAGCCTGGAGTATGTTAGGACTCTGGATTTGAGGTCATTGCTGGGTGCAGTCTCTGCTTGGTCACTGTTTAGTTGTGGCCCATCACTTTATCCTGGGCCTGCCCTGCCTACTTTCCAGAGATGCTCTAACAGTAGAATAACAAAACACAGAGTGCTCTTCAGTGTACAGATTGTTAAGAGCATGTAATTACCATGCCCTTGCTGAGTTCCAGGCACTGAGGTAAGCAGTTAAAATGTGTTACCTTGTTTGTCCGCATCACTTCATAATGTTTTCATGCTTCACAAATCATGGAAACTGGCTTCAAAAGGGAAATATGGTGGTCCAAATGTAAGGAGCTGACTCACCAGCCCAAGTTCAAAACCACCAGATACCCACTGGAAGAAAGGCAATCTTCTGTGATTTTATAGCCTCTGAAAACCCACTGGAGGGGCAGCCAGGGGCAGCTCAGATGGGAGGGCAGTGTTTCACACATCAGTCAGGTTTCACAAAATTTAACTTGGTCACAGCCACACAGTTGGTCACTGCTAAGACCACTGTCATCACTGCTAGTCTTTTAGCATGTATTGCTAGCAATACTGCTGTCAAACCTGCTTCTACCTTCTTCTTCATTTATTTTATTTCCCTAGATCCTGAGCAGAGAGCCCTACCCAGAGTCCCATGTAGATAAAGGAGATCTGTGTGGTTACTATTGTTGTTGTGTACCATCAAGTTGGAACTGACCATAGCTGACTCTCTGGTGGGTTTTCACAAGCATGTAATCACTTGAGAGGAGACTGCCCATCCTTCTCCTGCGAAGCAGCTGGTGGTTTCAAACCTCATGCCTTTGTGATTGTAGCGCAGCTTCTTGCCACTAGTGATAACTGTCTGGTTACCATAGGAGACCTAGATTTATTCCAAGTATGACATTAAAAAATGTTAGTCATGAGTTTATTTGATGCAGCAGCAGATATTATCTGAGGTTTCTGTGTTATCTGAGATTACCTATGTAACCAAGTACCACTACTTGACAGACATGAATAGGCTTTTTAGTACAGCCCTGGGTAAGGAAATAGGTGGCCTTTTCCCCCCAGCTAATTTGATTTGCTCTTCCCATTGCAGCCTTTTGACTCGGCTAAAGAGACAGGGTGATGGTGAAATCATTGGGATCCAGAAGCTGAAGTCAGGGGACACATACCACACTGCTCTCCTGAGCAGCACAGAGGAGGACTAAAGGGGACACCCACAGGAAGCCAGACAAGACCGCTGCGCTGACACGGTATCCTCCATCAAGTCCCACTGAGAGGCACACACCTCACCTGCCTTCCAGCATGAATATCAGAATCTGAGCGTTTTAGGGCAGAGGTGGCCTTACAGATGAACAGAGTATGAACCCAGCCTACAGACTTACTGCTTCGGGTCATTCCTCCTTTTCTCTTAAAAAAATGGGTACTTTCTAATTAGAAAGATCTTAGAATATTTAAGAAGAGAACAGATACAATTCTAACATTTTGTAAAAAAAGTAATTAACAAGCATTGGTATTTTAAATATTAATTGCTAAAAACATATGAACTACTCAAAATCGTAACATAACAAATTACTGTACTACCACTGTGGATCATTGATAAAATAAAGCCAAGCATGATTTTAAAATCAAGTAGCTCTGTTTTCTTTGGGGGGGGGGAAAGTTCTTTCATGGTCATACAGTCCCCCCGCCCCAAGACCACTTTACTATGCAGCTCTTATTCTAGCTCTTGTAATACCAGTAATGTTGTTTGTTGTTGTTATGTGCCGTCGAGTCATTTACGACTCATAGCGACCCTATGTACAACAGCCCTAAACCCTGCTCTATCCTGTGCCAATCTCATAGCCTCTGACGCACCCATCCCGATTACCCCAGTCACTGAATCAATCCACCTCATAGAGGGTCTTCCCCTCCTGCACTGTCCCTCTACTCTGCCCAGCATGATATCCCTCTCCAAAGACCTGTTTCTCCTTGCAACATGTCCAAAGTATGTCAGACGAAGCCCCAGAATCCTTGCCTCCTAGGAGTAGCTTGATTTAACCCTCTCTAGGATGAATCTATTTGCTTTCTTGGCAGTCCATGGTACATTCAATACTCTTCTCCAGCACCACATCTCAAAGGTGTCAATTCTCCTTCTATCCTCCCTAGTCATTGTCTAACTCTCTGATGCATAGCAAGTGATTGCAAAAACCGTGGCCTGTATCAGACGCACCTTAGTCTCCAGAGAGACACCGTTGCTCTTGAGTACTTTAGAGAGGTCCCTAACCGCAGACTTTCCGATTGCAATACGTTTTTTGATTTCCTGGCTACTGGTGCCAAGAGTGTCGACCGTGGAGCCGAGCAAACTGAAGCTGTGAACAATCTCAATCTCTTCGCCATCCATCCTGATGCTACTGATTGGTCCAGTAATACCTAATTATATATTCCTTTCATACTGGCAAGGGGAGGGAGGCAGGGAGGAAAATGTGCAACAATGAATGAATGGAAATCCAAGTTCTTTATAAACTTACAATAAAATCTCAATTAAAAAAATTTCAAGTAGCTCAGTAGCTTGTTGTTGTTAGGTGCTGTTGAGTCAACTCTGACTCCTAACATCCTGTGAGCAACAGATCCAAACCTTGCTCTCTCCTGCATCATCCTCACAATCTGAGAGACCAGTGAGTTGCAACTCAGACATCTGACTTCAACTCAGATGTCTGACTTCAACTCAGATGTCTGACTTCACAAAGGCACTAAGAGAGAATGCTAACAGACAGTGTGTACACAGAAACTATAAGGTTATGTACAGAAGGACCTGCATCTGATAGAGATGAAAGTAAAAGTATGAATCCTTATTAGAACAGGGAGTTCTTGGGTTATGAACATCAGACTTATACACAACATAAAAAGAAACTCCCTGAACCTTGTGTTAAAAATCTGAGGTGCATACAATTGTTCTTAAGAAGTAGGTGTTAATTAGGATGCACAGCAAAATCTTACATTTACTGTTAGGTACAAACTGGGCCTACTGTTTGGACTTACATATCTGAATGACAGAAAGAGAACTCATTTGTCATCTTAAGACTGCCTATGATACAAAGTCTTGACTCTCTAGCCTTTGTTCTTAATTTGTTCTTGAAAACTTTTAAAAAACTTGTTTCAATATCATGAACCTTCACTTTGCCCAGGCTCTGTAATGGTATTGTGGGCCAGGAGATGTGTGCTCAGCAAAGGATCACAACAGAATGGGCAACTAGAACTTGGTGCCTAAGAAAAGAGAAGTCAGCGCATTTGAGGCACAGAGAATAGTAACGTGCTCAGAAAAACATACTACATTCTATAAACTCACCAAGCAGGTCAAGACAATTTTGAAGGGTTTTAGACCAGGAGTTCTACAGGACACTGCACCTTCCCTTGGAGACAGCTCAACTAAACTCAAGAGACACTGGTCAAAAGGAAAATGTCAGCAGTCGACGTTTTTGGAATCACAGAAGCCAAGAAAGCTTAAGATACA